GTTGGCGAGAACCAGCAGACATTTGACCTTGAAGGTGACAGTGGAAGTCTCATTCTCTTGACGGGTCGCAACAGGGAGAAACCACGGCCTGTGGGCATTATCTGGGGTGGAACAGCTAATAGAGGTCGTTTGAAACTAAAAGTTGGCCAACCCCCAGAAAATTGGACAAGTGGAGTTGACCTTGGCCGACTTCTTGATCTCCTTGAACTTGATCTCATAACATCAAATGAAGCACTCCAAGGTTTGTTTTAGATCATTGGTTGTTAGTTATTCAATTCCCTTAATAAACCATCTGAGACTGCATCATTCTGTGCTTTACTGTTTCACAAATTGTGCTGAGGAATTTAGAAATCCAGCATATATTCCAAATGTTACAAATTTCTGAACAAAAATCTGTCAGAATTGGCTGAAGTCTTGAGATTAGGGAGAGATAGGAAATGTTATATATAAACAGTGTCTCCTACTTGAATTCTGTTTTTGATATTTCACCCATAAGTTTATTCTTCTGATAATAGATTAACTTATAAAAGGCCTGTGTTTCAATTTTGCCTATGCTTGATAGATAAATACTCTTGGAAAAACTTCTGGATAAGAAATTTGACCAATGATCTGGGATTAGAGATTGGCGAGACAATTTGTCTGATTTCAAAAAAGCTTTCTTTCCAACAATAAGGGCCCCAGAATTTGAACTGTGATGCTGTATATTTCTTTTCTTTATGCCACTGTCCAAATTTTAATTTTTTATGAAGGTATGTGTATGTCACCTCTAGCCTCTAGGTGCTATCTATTGCATAAATTTCTTGAGGACTTTGTTAGCTTTTGATTTGAGACGGAGGTATAATTATGAATTCTTTTGCTACAAGCCTGAAAATTAGTATTTGTGACAGAAGATAGAATGTAAGGGCAGGGATCCCATTCGCTGTAACCGTTTTCCTAGTTTTTCATGATTTATTTCTTTGCCTAAAATTTACATCTGACTTCCCCTTTCTATGGTCATTTCATAGCTGTGGTGCAAGAGCAAAGGAATGGTTCGGCTGCTGGAATTGGTTCTACAGTTGGAGAATCCTCTCCCATTATACGAATAACAGAAAAGCTTGAAGAGAGCTTCGAGCCTTTTTGCTTGAACATCGAGAAGGTTCCAGTTGAAGATAAACCCTCCAACCCATCATTGAGGCCCTATGAATTTCATAGAAAAAATGAGATTGAAACAGCTCCAAATGTAGAACACCAGTTCATCCCAACTTATGCAGACAAGTCTCCTGCACCTCAAAGCTACCCGAAAAAAGACACGGAATTTAAAAGTCTTTCTGAACTTAAGAATGGCTCTGATGAAGATAATTTTGTTTCCTTGCATTTAGGAGAGCCTGAAGCAAAGAGAAGAAAGCACTCAAATTCTTCTTTTAGCATCAAAGAAATGAAGTAACTAGTAGGATTTGAGTTGAAGTAAAATGCAGTATATATAGACTCCATGAAAAAAACATGTCTCAGTTCTTCTGGATATGATTTGTATTCTCTTTTTTCTCTTTCTTGATTTGGTAAAGTCATATTAGTCTTTTGTGGGTTATATAATATTTCACAGATGGCATTTATAAATCTTTGTAGACCTTGCATATCATAAGCAATCCTGAAAAGGGAGGCACTATTGTAAGTGAAAGGAATGTTAAATATACTTGTCAAGCAGTGTTTTCAACCTTCATGTTTTATCCTACTTTAGCAATAGTTTATTAAGTGTTAACATGTTCTCCTTTAAACTTTAAAACATGTACCAAAACATGTTTATTTCTAAGTAGTACCAAAACATGTACCAAAACATGTTTATTTCTAAGTAGTACCAAAAACTCTTAAACGCAACCCAGAATTTTGTTCAAAATATGCTCCAAGTATGAGTAAAACTAGTTTGTTAAAACACATAAACAAGAGCAATAAAGTATATCTTTACCAATATGAGCCATTTAATTAAGTCACCACATGGAGAAGTGAAAAGAAGTGTTGGATACATTGTTGCAAAAGTGGGTTGGTACTAATGAATGTTAGGGAGAAGTGAGGTTGGAAGTTGAATATGTTAATCGAACAACGTCATAATGTTATATAATTAAATCATATTATTAACAAAACATTTATTTGATAAAAAAAACAAAACAAACTTAATTTCTAATTATTTTTAATGTTTATGAGTATTAGAGCTTGTCCATTTTTTGAGGGGACTTAGTCAAATTCATCTTACTAGGTCAAGTTTCGATAATTAAAATGTACTCGTTTATTTTTTAAGTCTTCAAAGCACACAACTTCAATTAAAATGATTTCATTTTGAGAAGGAATTTTACATTATGAGGTCAAACACCACGAGTCATACATAGAAACACAAAATTGAGACACTAAATCAACTTGAAACAAAAGAATCATTGAAGAGGCCAAGTGATACAAAACATGAACATTTATCACCCTGTGAAATCCACCAAAGGATGAGTGTAAGAATATAGAGCGTTGGTACAAGCTTCACTTCTATAAACTCTTCCTCCTTTCGATTCAAATATTTCATTTTTTATTTTCCATTTTGTAGAGTCGTTCAACCTTAATATTTACGAGTGTAATATCTACCGATGATGTATTACTTTTTTTTTTTTGAAGAGTCGAAGTCAATGATAATTAAAAACGAACAGTAAATGACAAACTGATAATATATAAAACTTTTATATTATTAATATATACATTTTTTTTTTTGTAGATATTTATAACTCTATCAATATAAAACTTTTATATTATTAATATATACATTAATTTTGTAGATATTTATAACTCTATCAATTGAATTGATTCTTAAAATTATATGGCTCAAACATAGCAGCCCAAATGTGATAATGAAGAAATTATTAATCTTTACTGCTGAGAAAGATAGAAATAAGAGGAAATATATCAGCCACAATGAATTAGAGACAGTTCTAGAAGCTAGTGTGTCTAGATTGACATGAAATATTACTTGCTTACTCCCTTTGACCACAACCTATTTTGCCAGCTCATTTTTGATGATGTCCCCTTTTCCATATATGATACACCTTACAATTTACATGATCTCAACCATTTATTTTGATAAGTGAGAACATTTAATATTAATCATTGAATCTTATTTAAAATATTAAGATTAAAATATATATATAGATGACTAATCAAAGAGCTTCTTAATTAGAAGTTGGATGAAGAGCAAACCATTAGTAATTAAATTTTAATTATTTTATATTAAATTAAATGAAATCTTAGGGCAAGGTTAATCTTCATCAAAATTTAGCCAACATTCATTTGGGAATACAGCTTTTGGATGACAAGATAATTTTGTTATCCATTTCCTACCTAACCGGAATAGGATTGCTTCAGGTAATGGAGGAATGAGGTTAGCATGTGAGAATTTAAACTTATGAGTGAAAGTATACATCACATTATTGATTTCTCATACTTTTTGTTCATCCAAGTATTAGAATTGGTTAACACGGGTCAGCCACTAGAAACTAGACTAATAATCGGACAAATAAGATCTAGTCTACGAGATTGTTGATCATGCCCAAAAGTTTGGATTAGCTAGAGAAAATTATGATAACGACATGACATGTATGGTCAAGTTAGCAAGTGCAACACATGAAAACTTTCATTCAAACTAAAGGGAAGACCATGTGGCCTAGGCAATGCAAGTTCATGTTGCCCATAGGGCAAATGTAGTCCAAATTTACAGCCTTGACAGTCTCATTATTTATAGGTCAAGAAAGAACAAAGTGAAACCATCCATAAGAAAACACAAGAAAAATATTCATATTTTCACTCTACTTTCTCTCTCTAAATCATTCACTTATATTTATTTGAGCTTAGATAGTATCTTTTCAAGTACTCACCTAAAGCACTTCCAAGCTAGCCATCGCTCGGATTCAACAAGGATACCCAGATTCCGACCAACCTCTTGCACACAGAAGAACACTTCTTCATTCCTAACACTACTAGATCCGAAGCTTAACTTATAGTATCTCGCAGATTCCAGCAGAGACATAGGTATGTTACGACAGTATCGTGACTCGTGAGGACCATATATATATATATATATATATATATATATATATATATATATATATATATATACAGTTAGATAGAAACAAATTAAACCACGTTAACGTTTGTCTCTGACTCCTCATGTTCTCTCACAAAACGCATCCCAAAAAAAGTTTGTTGAAATTACGAGGCAAATGAGTACGACTACAAAAAAAATTGATTAACTGTTTCTATGCGATAAATCACTTTCATATTCTTGAACCACACATTATTCTACACCATGTAAGCCTAACCAGAATAAGTTCAAGTCATGTATTGATTCTTCACTAACTATAACAATTTACCCTTATATACCTTGTCTTATATATGTTCATATATTCTTCCATCGTGTTTTTCTTTTGTTCTTTTTAACAGCCAACAGTTTCTTTCTATTTATTGACAAATACGTGCATGAATATGCATACATGGTAAAGTTAATTAATAATAATTAATGGGATGCGAAAAGATGTAGCTGCAAAATCAAGGTTTTAAATTTGTCTCTGTGAAGGCCATTAAGAGTGCAATATTATGGTTCTGGTAGCGGTCACAAATACATTGTTGCTGCAATCATCACTACAATATTTTTGGCCTATGGCAACGGCTAGAAACCGTTGTCACAATAAAAAAAACCGTTCTCTTTGCCATATGCAACAGTTTTGTAACTGTGGTAGTCCGATGCTTTGCCTTTTGTTTAGACCACGGTTTTTTGACTTTTGGAATTGCAATAAACATAATTTAAAATCTTGAAGAAAATTATAAATATTTATACAGTTGAAAATAAATTTTCTATAACAAAATTTGCATGTCAAGAAAGAAAAGAGAATGAAATTAAGTTTCAATTCATAAGCATGAAAGCCAAGTACCTGAAATTGAAATTGTAGTAATAAGAAGAGTAGTCCCGAAGTTCATGAATTGAGAAAATAATCTGTTGGTGACTGAGTGATTGAAGCTGCAACATGACCTGATGGAACCATATCTTTTATAACTAATTGCCCTAACTAGTATCCTTAAAGGACAACAAGTTTTTTTCTTGGCTCAAAAACCACTTTAGATTAAGAAATCTTACAAAACCAAGCCAAACAAAGTCAATACTTGTTCTTAGAGAATTCCATTTGTTTTTTTACCATTGACACTACCACCGATCTTAAATCAATAGAAGGCATTTTCCTCTAATTCATTACTATTAGTTCCTAATAGCTAGTGTGATATATATATACTAGGCATAAGAATATAGATCATAGATGTGTTTGGTTAATTACCAGATCATGCTGGCAGCTTCAATCTCTCAAACCAACATACTTGAGAATAAAGAGATCGGTGAACCCTATTGGTGCCCTTTAATTGATGAAGAAAAGTACAAAAGTTGAAATACTACTCATGCATGTTTGGTGTAAAGAAACCCCTTGTGACTCCTGATTCATATGAATGCATGAATGTGCAGTTTCACTACTGTGCTATATAGAGGGATGAAGTATTTAATGGTGGGTTTTGGTCCTCCCTTACGGATAAGGATCTGTTGTCCCCAACCATGTCCCCAAGCTCATCTCCCACCAATTAAAATAGAGTAAAAATAGATAAAATCATAAATATTTGATTTTTTTAATTGACATATCATATTTTGATTGGTGCGTGCTGAGTTTGGGGACGAGTTGGGGACAGCAGATCCTTGTCCCTCCCTTACAGCTAATGACTCTTCTTTTTGTCCCTCTCCCTGTCACTACTCTTATGAGTTGATGACGATCATCTATCCTGTCTTGCATCAATGACAATGAAGCAAATAATTACTTCATTGTCATTTCTTTTACATGTTTTCATTGATTTGGGACAGACTTTGGGATATGCTTTCAAATAAGATATACTTCTAGGTTAATCCTATCATATATTTGATAAAAAAGAAGGGGACCAAACTATGGTCCTTACTCCTTAAGAAAGAAAAAAATTAGGATGAAATTTTATATTAGAAGCTTTATTATAATATTATTAGTAGCACATAATTACTGTGAAATCATGGTTTTCTATTAGATATACTTTTCTTTGGAGAAAAAGAAGAGAGACTTTTCACCAGACATAAAATTGTGTGAAGTTTAATTTACTAAACGTAAATATTTATTTTAGTTTTTATTTTATTACACCCTTGACAAGCAATAGTGATTGGACAGTTAGAACTAAAATAGTTTATATCCATAAAAAATGGAAGTAATCTATTAATTTGAGAGTGAAATGTCAACCATAATTTTATTCTTATGTGTTGATTTGTATTTTCATGTCTACCATGTGGCTCTATTAAGAGCTTGTCTCTAAGTTTGTTTTGAATATCAATAATGTTCTTCAAACAATAATTAGATATTACTTTTGAGATGTAAAAACCGTCATAGTTAACATTTTAATTTCAAGTTCAATTTCTCTTAGCTTTCTAACTATAATGGGGTAATGTCCATTTATAGTTTATTTATTTGTAATATGATAAAGTATACACTATAAGCATGAGATAAATTAAATTAATGTTAGGATTTTGATGCCTAGCTATATAATTTTTGAGGAGTGATCCACTTATTCAAAGAGTAAGTTTTTTTAAACTTACTCCACATCTTAGTTATCAATTCTAGGAAATCTAATGGTTTAGATCTACTCACTAATTCAAACCATTTGATTTCTCAATATTTGATGACTATGATGTTGAGTAAGCGTTTTAAATTTACTCTTGGAGTAAGTGAGTTCCCTCCCGTAATTTTTTTTTTGTGTTAACAATGGCAAAAATCATTTTAGTAATCATTATATTACAAGATATATCAGTCTTTGGAATCTTTGGTGTCGGCTAGGGCAATGGAATACCCTTTAATTTCCGCAAATAAAAAAGTGAGTGAGGCTCTTCTTCATTGATAGAGAGATAAATATTATGGAATATCAAAAGAAAAATAATATACATTGACATTTGTGTCTTTTAAATTCAAATTTAAATTACACTTTAACCCTTAATTCAAATAAAATAAGCACACTACCCTAAGTCTCATTCAAAAAAAATAGTATACACACATGCCTCCTATTTTATGTTCAAATATCTTTTATTGAAAAGCGAAAAGGAAGAAATTTCTAGATAAATAGAGAGCAAATATTGTGGAAAATCAAGTTATAATATTTTTATAAGTTATTGTTATTTTCTTTTATTTCAAGAGCTATTGTTTGTAAAGCGTTATCTTAATTAGTGTAGATGACTTAAGTTTCCATTTTTAAAATTATATTTGATGTAGATTTTTATTTTCCAAAGGTAACCCTTACTTTCTAAAAGTTATTTTTAGATCACACTTCTAAGAGTTAATTTCATATAGATTAAATTACACTCACACCTCCTGAGTTTTAGTAAAATTACACAAAATATCCATCATTTTTTTGTCTCTACACGAACCACCCCTAATTTTGTACATATGTTACACTGACTATCCTTGCATGATATAAAAGTGTAATATTTTAAACAAAAAACGTATGATGTATGTAATTAATTAAACAAAACATTGTATATAAGAGTCAATGTGTCTTCATTATTTGGCTCATTATAAAATAGTATAAGAGTTATTTAAACAATTATTTGAAATTATTAATGTATTTTTTAATGATACAAAAATAATAAAGAAACACTCACTTTTGTACTATTTGAAGTGATACACAATATACAATATTTTGTTTCACTTAATTACATTCATCACATGTTTTTTATTTAAAATATTACACTTTTATAAATCTACGAGTGATTTGTGTATGATGGATGAGTGGTTGGTGTAAGGACAAAGAAGGGAGATATGATTTATGTAATTTCATTAGAAGTCAGGAGGTGTGAGTGTAATTTACTCTTCATATATAATATTTATATTTTTTATAGGTAGTTTATTAATGAGGAGTTGAGGTTTGAACTAAAATACTTATACTTAATATCTCACAACTTTATTAATTGAGTTATCTCTTGTGGACGCTTAATCTCATACACTAAAGTTATGCATTTTAATTAATCAAGAAAATGGTAAAGATATTCTTGAGTATATTTAAGTATGAAGTCTCACACTGCATATTAAAAGATGATAAAAAGAGTTTATAAGGAGAAAAATCACATGAAACCATTGTCTTATGGTCCACTTGCGAGTCTGATTTTGGAGGAGGGATGGAGAAAAAAAAAGAAATGTTTCAGAGTCATGAAATATACTTGTAGATGATTGTGGAGCATTCCATTAATTTTCATATCTTCCACTTCAAAACTCAATACTTGTGATGATTATTTAACTAAAGGAAGTTAAATGTGTCATGGGACACAAAGAAATAACCCAAAGAAAAGGGAAAAGCTAAATGTACCTTTTAATTATAAAAAACACCGACCTACTTAATTAATTTTATTTTATTATTGGTTTGCTACAACTGTCAAAAAGCAAGGTCGTTCTCCAAGAAGTCACAATATTGGCACTTGTTGTGATTTGATTAATCTTACTCAAAACATGTATTAAATATACCGTTCCCATGTGGTTTGAGACCACATAGTCCCTACACCCACATAATCACAATTAAATTATGTCTCATAATAATATGTAATAAATAAAAGAGTCTAAATTGGCCAGGTTGGTGGAATCACTTGAGGGTGCCCTCTTTTTGTCTTTAGCTTTGGGTTGTTTTTCTATCTTTGGTGTATTTGATTGACAAACAATGACATGTTACATATCAATTGAAAGTTAAGGACCACACACATATATATATATATATATATATATATATGAACCTTTTTATATATATTGTTCTTCTAATTGATGTATAGTGTCACATGGTTTTGCTTTTTAGTTTATTAGCTCAAGCACTTGTATATTTCTTTAATTGATTAAGGTACTTGTGACTTATGCTATGGTGGTTCTGGATAAAACCCTTCATATTAGGGCTTCCTCATTTACAAAAGTATAGGGTTCTCTTCTTTTGGTTTTCTTTATCTTAATGTGGTCCCACTTGTATGTTTAAATGCCCTTTTCATTAATCATCAGAGTAACTTATGAGAATTATGTATGTGTGAACAAATTTAAAGGAATTGTTATCTCATAGAGATATAAGCAAGTTAAACGTTTTTGGAGATAATCACTACCTCAAAAAGATTTGGTCGATCATGAAACTTAGATATGATATAAATGAATCACAAATCAAATCCATAAACAAGGAATAGGCTCACCAAATAAAGTAAGGACAAAACTTAAGTAAAGTATCATATGTATTAGTGGTACATATGACCTATCAGAAGATAACATGTGAACATTTTTATTTACTTTCAAAGAAGTAACATTTATTAGACTTACAATCAATCATTTTTTGACCTTGAAAGTAAACAAAAAGATTCACGTGTCATCATCTAATAGATCACATGTATCACTAGCACCTATGATACTTTACTTAAGTTTTGTGTATAAAGTAAAGGTCGACATCCAAAAACCTTTCAAAGTAATGAGTCAGGGATATGTTCTGGACCAGTTCATGGACTTATAATTCCAATTGTTTTAATTACTTTATGATTCCATAACATAAGGTCTTCAAAAGGCCTTGAACTAAGGGTCTATATGCCTATCATGCCCTAAATGATACCTCGTCCAAGACATTAAAAATAACATGAATGTATCGTTGTATATGAATAAATGTATAGTAAGATAAATTATAATTAACACATTTATATCTTTTAAGATATAATCCTATTATAACACATTTAGTATCTTTTGAGATACTTGTGAAATTGTGTGGGTGCATGTTCTTAGGGAGCTAGGCGAATCAAGTTGGACATGCCCTCCCTAAATTTGCTCATTCTGAATTGTTGTGTGATTATTGATGTTGTTCTTTATATAGACATGAATTTGTTGTCTCAAATAGTCTTCCCAACTATGTTTTCGGAGTTTGGATTAATGAAAACATGTCATATTAATTAAAAAATTAAATATTGATTATTTTTTTATTCAATATCATTAGTTTTATGACATAATTTAAGACATTATTTAGGACACCAAATCTTTCTCCTCCTTATAGATGCTCCTAGTTTTGTTTATTGTGCGTTATTACAAAGTATTGCACTGGGACACATATTACCTTAGTGTATGGGTAGATGAGATTTTCCAGAAGTATTTATCATTTTTTTCTTTATTTTTAAATAATTTAGGATACTTCCCCCATTCCATATTTTTTGTTGTTCAATATTAATCATTAAATAATATTATATCTTGACTAACTGGTTTATATATTTTGTGAGAGAGAAAAAGTGAAATTGATTAGTAAAAATGATGATATGTATA